ATAGCAAACATATATAAAAATAAGCCTATTTGCAAAACCAATTACGGATGCGCAAGTTCCGAAAAAAGCCCAACTGATGGCTCATTAAGTCTTATTTCGGAGGATCCGCTTCCCACCAAAATTTTGTTTTATCGCGTTGTGTTTTGTTATTCTTTTTTTTACCAGCCAGCTGCAAATTGTTCTTTGAAATTCGCGCGTGCCAAAAATAAATTTCAGCTTAAAAGTGAAACAAAACATAAAAACTTGAGGAGGGGGCCTGTGTTTTATTTTCTGAGGATGTTACCTGCTGACTTCTGTTTCGGTTTCTGTCTCGTTTTAATTTTTATGGCTCGGAACCCTTGTCTTAAATGCGTTCGTTTCATTGCCGTTGGCAGCTGTTTGTCGTTTCGTTTTGTTGACCCAAATTTCTTAACCGAAGATTTCTATCAGACGAGCCTGCCAGAAGTACATGCATTAAAATTAAAACCCTTGGCCGCAGGGTAACCCTTTCTTGTTTGGTTTTTGGTCTAGTGAAAGTTTCCTGGCGCGTGACTTTCTGAGAGGGGGAAAGAAAGAAAGCGAGGACCAGCTGTTTGACTAACTGTAAATGAACCGTTAGGTTCTTAGCCCCTTTGGAGAAAGTTTCCCATCATTTTAGATCGATCTATCAACAAAGGAAGTGGAAGATGACCAAGATATTTGCACTTTTTAATGACCTAATCGGGTTCTACCGTTAGGTGAAAGTTATTTTAGGGGTTGTGTAAGGGAAAATACAACAGATGTGGCAAGATCCCGTTGGTATTCCCTTTTTAAGGATGGCAATCATAGATTTCTATCAAGAAATTTATAAAAAAATTGTATTATTAAATAAATTATAAATTTAAGAAATTTCTCAAAAAATTAACTTAAGAAAAAATTTTAACAACACTTCCCAGCAAGCTATTCATTATTTTTAAAAATTATTTTTTATAAGCAAACTCAATCTTGAACTTGAACTAACAACAAATTGTACCATAAAACGTTATAATGACCAATGTCTGGACTCTGCATTAAAGGAAATAATGATTCCCAGGCTTACCCAAATTACACATTAGATTAGAGAGGTTGGCAACACTCAGATTTCCGCACAGAACTCACCTGCAATGAAAAGGAACGAAGAAAGAAAATTAATATCAGTTTGTAGGAAAAATGAAGATGAAAATAGCCACTCTTATTAATAGACAATCAATCAGCCGGTTCCGACAAAAGGCCGACAGGCTTTGTTGGGGAAACCGTAGCGATCTTGGCCAGCATTTCATCCATGGAACCAATGGACCCCGTACCCTGGACCCCGGACCCCAAGATAATGGCCACTGTAAGGCCCCATGCTCTGCAATTAAGCGGCAATTCAATTCAGAATCGGAATTGGAATCGCAATGGGAGTATGGGAATGGCAATGCCAATGGAAGTGCCAAGATATGGGCACAAAAGGCCCATGGTGCGGAGTCAAGTGCAAACACTCAAACACTTGCGACCTGTCAGCGTCCAACGGCCAACAACAATGGCCTTCTCGCTTTTCCGCTCTTGGAAATTGATTAAACTCATTCATAATGACAACGGCAGCAGCTCCAATAACGAGTTCTAGAACTCTACAACTTCCATATGTTGCCCTATCGGCAGGGCTTAGAAAAATCAACGGATATTATCGATGGTTTGTATTTATTAAGTTTACAAATTAAAAATAGACAATTAAACAAAATGTATTCTTTACCTAAGTAAACACTTTGTAAGGATTTTTTAAGATATATTATTTAAAATATATAATATAAGATAGTATAATTTGTTCTATCACTTTTATATCAATCCAAAGATATTTAAAAAATATTATATCTTTAGATTTTTATAACATTTAAAAGAAAGAAAGGCTTGAAATTTGTTATAAATTGTCTTTAATGTTTTCCCTAAAACCAGTGGCAGCCTAAGTTGGTATACTGAACCTAGAGAGTATCTCCTGTCAGCAGTCAATTGTGGCTAATGAACTAATGGACACCTCATGGCCAAAAGCAGGCCGAGGGAAAAAAATCACTTTTCTTTCTCTTTTCTGCCTTGTGGCCTAAAAAGTGTGACCAGCTTCGTTTTTGGGGCGCAGTGGGAGTGGCAAAAAATAGGGAGAAAGGAAAGGCGTGGCCTGCCATTTACACACGCCGCACAAATGTGGGGGGAGGAAAAAAAAAGATATGATCCAATTCAATTTAAGCGCGTGTCTCATGGCGAAGGTAACAACAATTTCAATGCATATATTTGTATTTGCAGTGACCCAGCTGCAATTGTTGTTTTTGCTGGTGTTGTACAAATGCAATTACAACTAAAACACACGGCCCAGGGGGAAAAGCACGGGGGAAATGGGTGGAAAAACAGGGGAAGGGCCAGCCAGCAAACGAAACACGAAGAGCCAACAACACACACGAGCCAATGGGCAGGGGGAAAAACGAACTGGGGGCGGGGAGGGAAAACAGCGGTTACAATTTTGTTTTTGCTCCGCCCACTTTCCCACACCCATCGCAACGAATGACGAATGAACGCGAGTGTAGGGGGGGGTATTAAGGGGGTGGAGATCAGGGCCAGAACGAAAATGTTTACGCTGCGAACTTAATCGCAATTAATTGCAATTAAAGACTTTTATAAACTTTTGGTCACTTTGAAGCTTCCCACAAATATTTGGTCACACTATCTTAGAACTTGTAAGTATTTGGTCTTATTACTTTAGAAGTTTTCTGTAAATATTTGGTGTGGTGATTAAACTGATTTGTTAAGCTGATTACTAAGCCAAGCTTCAACCTTTTATCTCAAGTTTCAATAATATCTTAATAATAATCATTTCCGAAACCCTTTCCTTTGCTCTTTCGCCAGGTTCCTCATAATTTTTGCATACCGAAATAGGAAATGCGAATCAATCAACCCTGTTCCCCTTGTATTTCCCTCAAAAAAACAAGAAAGAGACTGTAGCCGGGGTAAAAAAAAATGGAAGCAGTACCAGAAGAATTGAAAGGCGTCTGCATTTAGATGAGACAGAGTGGGAGAGGCAATTTCGAGGGGCTACAAAGGGGGCGGTTTTCCTCTCTAGGTGACGAACGTCATCGTCGCCGCACTCAAATCGTGGGAAAATGTTTTTCATGCTCCTGTTGCCGTTGTCTCTGTCGTTTTTATTGTTGTTGCCACGTTGTTGCAGTGTCTTCGTGTTGTTGTTGTTGTTGTTGTTGCTATAGTTGTTTGCATTGTTGTTGCTAGTTTGTGTGTCGACTGTGGGCTGATGAAAAGCTTTTTTGCCGCTCGCCGCAATTCGTTTCGCTGCATTAAGCAGGGCAAAAACATAGAAAAATCCCTCAATATGTGTTAAAAGGAAAGGCTCGAGTCTCAGGAACTGAGAAATCCATATTCATAGTCTTAAAACCAAAACGAGCCATTAACGTTTAGTTTTTAAGACTTTTATAATTGTATTATAGGGTTTTATAGTCTTATTAAGGGGTCAGCATTTTGGTTTTCATTATAATATCATATTACGATAACAGATCAACGAAGACCTTATATTTTTATTAAAAATTGAAATGAAAACCTACTTTTACTAATTCCAAATTTAATTAATCATAATTCAGACACCTTTTTAATTTTAAATAAATACAATATCGGGCAGTTAATCAATAAAAATACCCAATTATTTTGTTGGCAATATATAAATATCTAATATTTATTAATTAAAAATAAAATAGAATTCTTAATAGTTGTATTTCACTAAAAAAGTCTAATTTATTTTCTGTAGAAATATTTCACTCAGTCAATTGCCGACTTCTAGTAAAAATTTGAGTGCCTCCGCCTAGATTATAGAACCCCGCCTTATATATAGTAATATATAGAAAAAGCGAAACGCAGCGGAGAATATAACATTCACCTGATCACGGTTTCTTCGCTTATCGCGCACGCATGCCGTGCCCTTGGACCCCCCCTGTCACCACCCACCACCCACAAAATCCACCGCCCACCACCCACCGCCCACACGAGCGTACTTTGCCTTCGCCTTATCAGCGGCAACAAAAAAAAATGTAGAAAAAACGCGGCAGCGTTTATCGCCTAAACGGCTGAGCACTTGCATATATGCAATTCCAAACAATTTCTCCGCCGGGCGAGTTTTGTTTCTAATTGAATTTCAGGCGTTTTCAATTTCTTTTTGTCAGCTTGCTTTTGTTTTACGACTCTCTAGACTGATAATACACAAGCAAATGACTGATAAAGCCAAAGCCGGCAATAATAATAATAATAGAAACAACAAAAACCACTAAAACAAACTACAACAATTGCAAAAAAAAAGAAAAGAGACGAATTTTATTTTTCGCGACAGTTCAAGGCATTTGCGCTTTAGCACCACGACAGAAAGTCTGCCATTCAATAAAATATGGCAAGTGAGAAATCGGAATGATTTTATGATAGATTTTCTCGAATACATAAAAATTTGCAGATAGCATATCAGGATAGAGAAGTTTGCAAAGCATTAAGGGCTAACAAATATACCAGAATTACAATTATATGCAATGAAAATATATCTTTAAAAATGCAAGCTGTTGTTTTAATAAAGTAGATTTTACAAGAAACAAAATACACTCCAAAAAGTTCTTAAATACATTTTTAAATAGTAATACAGAGAACTCTATCAGAAAACGTTGACTGAAAATATGTACCGTACTGAAAAAAAGTATTTGAAATACTTAATTTCTAAAAAAATATACTACAAAAAATCGAATACCTTTTTTTGAATATCAATAAATCTTATTTGATAAAAAAACTAGATTGAAAACTATGTACCTTACTTAAAAATGGTATTTGAAGAGTTTTATTTCTTTTTAGAGTTACCAGACCTCTAAATGCTTCAACCCCCGAAAATCCTTACGTAACTGCCAATGGCCACACTGCGTATGCTTGACGCATCGCGTATACGCCGTGTGTGCTTATGCGATCGTGTGCTAAACGCGATTTCACGCGACTTGACTCACCCTGTTTGCTTATGCAGCAGGCAGCGGCAAATAGAACAGAAATAATAGCCGCTCTGGCAAAGATAAATATTACACAAAACGCCGAGGATCTAGAGGATTGATGTATCTGCTCTCATATATTTTTCTCAATTTATTTCCTTTGGCATTTGGACTTCCTTGAACTTTATATGCGTTGTTTTATGAATGCATTTTCAAACGTGGCGTTCATTTCTTGTGCGCTTTTTGTGTGCACATTACACCGAAAACACCGAAAAAAAAAAGAAGAATGTTTTAAAAATATTAAATTTGCGGCGAAGGCGGCGGCGGCGGTGATAATTAGGGGGAATTATGAAGGCGAACGGCACGAACTGAAAGGAATTTATGCCTTTGAACACGTAGACGCGACGCAGACGCGATGACGACGCGGCAGCGACGCGAACGACGGCGTCGGCAGAAAACGCGTGCAGCCTTGAGAAGATCGCGATAGCGACTGAAACAGCAGCAAAATTCACCCAGAACAGGCAAAAATCTCAACTGAACTAGGGGAATAGTACAAAAAAAAAAAAAAAAAAGAACAAACGCCTAGCGATTTTTGCGCGCGTTTTAAAACGCGCGCGCACGCCCAGGAAGGATGTGTGTTGCTGCCGTGCCTGCAATTTTCGTTGCTTGTGTTGCTGCTGCGTCTGCAATTTTTGTTGCTGCTGCTGCTGCTGCTGTTGCTGCTGGTGGCGTTGCTGGTTGCAGTTGCAGGTTGCTTCGGTGGAAAACGCGCCACGACGCACACAAATAACTAACTAACAGCGGCCGTAGTAAAATGACAACTGAAACCGCAGCAGGCGAAATGAAAACGAGTAACGATAGAGCTGAACGGAAAAAAAATGCAAAAAAAAAAGCAGAAAAAAATACAAGGCACACACACAAGCCACGGCAAAATAAATAAAATAAAAATTGACGATGGGCAGCGGCGACGACGACGGCAAACGCAGCTACAGTTGGCTAGTTCTACGGGTCAGAGATGCCGAAACGCCGGTGATTTTGCCGGGAAATCACCGCCCAGATAGCTTTCACCTATCTATTTCATATATAGATTTTTCAAACCCATTTTTACTAGCAAATATCTATTATAATAAGTATCCTTTAGGACCTTTAATTATACATTATCCTACATTCACCTTTTCTTTTTATTTCCCATAGGTTTAAAAATAATATTACAAATCTTACATAATATTAGAACCATTTCTTATGTAACAAGTAAAAAGAAAATATATTAAAAAATTATATAATAGGATCCTTTTATATATTTATTTTTCACATTAGCCGGCCTTCTCGTTTAATATTTAATTATATTTTTTTTTTAATACTCTTAAGAATTTTCAAAAAAGTTAAGCAATTCTTAAGTTACAAGTAAAAAAAATTCCAAAGTTTATTTTGACTAAAATTATATAATTATAAGAATTTTATTAAGAGGATCTAGTTATTTGTAAAAAAATTTAACACAGTTTAAGACCTTAGAATTTAAAAATTCTAGAGATTTTCAAAAAGGTATTTTGATGTATTATTATTACCAACGGTCAAAAAAATCTTTATAAAATTCTAGACCTATTCAAATTTTTTTAATTGTAGAGTTTTTCAAAAAAGCTTTTCAAATTTTACTAACAATCAACAGGTGGATCTTAAATTTTCCCTAATAAAATATATTTTTTAGCTTTTTCTTGGTCTTAACCCAGATCAGCACTGATTCTAACATTCTTTTTGCAAACTTTTCACTTTTAGCTGCATTTGCCGTCGAGATGCAGTGCGAGCGAGAGGCTGGCTGCGCGGCGCGTGAGCGACAGAGATGGGGCGAGAGCGGGAGCGAGCACTTTGCTGCCACGCTTCGTCAGCTGTTCGTTAGTCGCCTTTTTGTTTTTGTTTTTATTTGTCGTGTGTGCGGAAGTGCAGAGCGTGGCGTTGGCGGCGACGCCGGCAGAGGCGGTAGCGTCGGCAGCGGAACGCAGCGGCGTAAGTGCAAGGCCAAACGCGTGCGAAAGGGAGGGAGCGATAGGGAGAGAGGGACAGGGATGGGGTACTATACGATGTGGAAAAGATACAGATACTTTTAATATTTTTTAGATTTTTCTGCTTTACTTAACTTTATTTAAATTATTTTTTTTGTATCTATTTCTATTTCTATTAATTTTAAATTAAATTGTTTAGAATTTTTTTATAAAACAATTTTTTATAATTTGTAATATATAATTTATAATTTTTTTTATTTGTACTTTTTTTTTAAATTTTCTAATGGTCAACTACCAATTTTTGAATTTTTCTTCGGCTTAAGATTTTTAAAGTATTATTTATTTTTCATAATTCTTTATTTAATTTTTTTTTTTATTTTGTGTGTTTTTTCATATTTATTTATATATTTTTTAGTTACTTGTTTAAATGTGTTTGTTTGTTTTGATTGGCAAGTGAAACTGATCGTGTTAGAATTGCGGATAGCGCGTGTTTTTTCCATTTCTCTAAGCCGACACCCACTCAAAACCCATTTTACACCCACAACGATCCGTAGAATTGCACGAAACAAAATGTTTGCAATAGTTTTTAATAAAAAAACTGTCGAGCATTAAAAAAATATTTACAATTTAGCAGCTCAATCCTACAAAATTTTAAAAATTTGTTAAGAATTATTTCTGTTAATTTTTTGAAATACCTTTTATTTGCACTTTTAAGTATCTTTTCTAAACCACAGATCTGAAAATCCAATGTGATCTCATTTGTTCTTTGTGTATAGAAGCCTTCTCTCATTCCATTCGCAAAATGCACGCGCGTGCCCTTGAAAACTTAACCCAACAATCGAGCCAAGGCAGTTGTTGCCAAGACCCCCCGCCGCCCACCAGCCCCCTAGATAAGCCCCCCTCCTCCGAACCCGCCACCCCTGGCACTTTCAAACTGTTTGCTGGCAAACAAAAGAAAGTGCAAAAATTGTTGAAATTTTCTTAGCGAAATCAGCAACAAACGACTTCGAATCTCGCACGTAAAATGTTGCTAAGAGCCAATGGCCAACGGATTTCATTGCCAAACACAATTTTTATACAAATGCGGTAAGGTTTTTCTTTTTCCTCTCATTTTATTTATTTATTTTTTTTGTGCATCGCTATTATTTGCCCAGTTGCGCAAAAAGAACGAAAATAGTTCGCCAAAAACTCAAAAACAAATCACAAGGTATAAGGCGTAGGATCTGAAGTACGCAAGGAATGGGAAATAGTTCAAAAAAGGGCTATGGCGACAAAGGGTTAAGGTTTAGCTAGGTAAAATAAAAATACTAAAAAATACTTGGAATAAATACTATAATATAATAATAATAATTATAAAAATACTGAATATACTAAATAAAGTAACATATTATAAAAAAGGGTATTTTATTTTACAAATCAATCAATCTGATAATAGCAAACATATAAATATCTATAGAGAACATTTCTCTAAGTCAGATATTTAAATTTCTAGAAATTGTAGCGCATCAATTAAATTCGATTGCATTTCTCGGCGATCGAGAAAAGTGTAAAAGGCAAAGACTTTCCAAGTATGTAAATAGATATCTACAGGCCGATTTACATATCTGTGCCGATCTGCACACATGTGCGGTCGTGTGTTTGATTATTTTATGTGCGCACGCTGCCAATTGCGAGAAAAAACTACAATGTTCAAGGTCGTGCGGCGAATGCACCTAAAACAACAACAGCAGGAGCCGCAAAAACAACAAACAATCGGTCATTCAGACGGTAACATACGCAAAATGTTTGAGTTCTACAAATTGCAAAAACTAGTGCAGGAACCAAATGTGCACAGATACTCATAAAGTAGACAGTGGGCCCTCGAAAAATCATTTTTAGTATTTATTCTACGAATATTACATTTTTGGAAAAGTTTTTTATTCCTACAAACTTATATTTTAAATAAATACTAGACATTTTTGTGTCTGAAATTTTTTCTAATATGTAAAAGTTATATTTCTCATTTTTGGGAACCGGATTTACCATCTTCATATCTTACAATAAGATCTAGAATTTTTTATAATATGGAAATCATAAATTAGATATGTGGGTATGTTTGAATAAAATTAATTTACATGATATTATAATTTATTGGAACGAAAAATAAAAGATGAAGTGTTTTTTTCAAATCATCAAAATATTTTTTAGACGTATACGTAATATTTTGGCTCTTCGAAAAACCTAATATTTCAAAGATCCTTAAATAATATCCCATATTCTACTGTACGCATTCACTTATGTAATGGTGTGTGTGCATTTATATGTATATACCCATGTGTAAATATATATGTATAACAACAATTTGCGCCCGTCAATTGCAAACGCGTCGCTGCCAACGTCGCCGCCAACGGCGACTGCGACTGCAACTGCGGCGTCGCTGCCATTGAGTTTTCACTGTCAAGGTCGAACGTTGTTCTGATGCGCAACGCAATGCGCAATGCGATCGCCGAGTGGGAGTGCGAGTGCAAGCGGGACGGGGGATCGCGCCGAGGGAGAGGGACGATGTGCGAACGAAAACGAGAACACAGCGGAGAACGAGTGCACAAAAGCTGTGGGAGAATGCGAAAATGCGAGGAACAGAAGGGAAAAAGAAAGAAAAAGAGAATGTGGGAATGGAGAATGCACACGGACTCTGCTTCCTCTTCTTCGGCTTCTACTGCTTCTTCTTCACTCACAAGGCGCACAGTGGGCGGGATTAGGTCTTAAGTGGAGATCACTTAAGGTCCACGAATTCTTTTAAGATTTTTTAAAGATCAAAGTAAAAATATTTCTTAAAAATATTTGGAGATCAACTATTTGCTTTAACACTATTTTAACCATTTAAGTTTATGGCAAAATAAATAGGAATGTTTAAAATTCCTTAAAGAACCTTATTTTTATTTTATAACTGTTTCATATTCTTATTAACAGGCCTAAGAGCTTTTAATTCCTGTGCCCATATTCGGGTAGTAGCGTTGTAGTATTATAAACTACCTTTAATTATAAAAATTTTAATAAAAAAATTTTTAAACATTTATTTATTCTTGTGAAAGTCCAAAAATGTATACAATATTTTGCAACCTGCAAGAATAAATAGCCCAAGCCTAGTAATGTATACATTACATAAGTATGTGAATATGTAGATGGTGAAGAACAGTACATTTTAAAGTGGGTTCTTAAAAAATCTAGTTGTTAGTTATTTATTTAAATAAGTTAAATGTATAATAGTTTAAATGAACCTTTGACCATACCCAGCTTTAATATTTTGCAGATTCCCACAGTTACATTTTAATTGTTTATCATTTGCTCGCCGATCACCTCTTGACCCACTGTGCGGCTGTGTGTGTGTGTGTGTACTTGTGTGTGGGCGCTGTGGCGGAAACGATATGCGGCTTATGTAATGCGACGGCGACAACAACAATCAGCGGCGACGCGTTGGCAGCGTCGAATGCATACGCACACGCTTCCACCGCCCACTGCCCACCGCCCACCGCCCCTTAGCCCAACGCCCCCTGACCCCCCTCTGGCCACGCCCTTGGCTAAACGCTTC